GAGTGTACATCATTACTAATGCTGGTACTAAACAAAAGCAGTCTGCTATCAGAAACATATCCCTACTGTGCTGCTCTCTTGATGCTATGCAGAAAGCTCAAATACGTAAATTTCAGACTGCTAGCCTAGTTAACCAAAAGAAAGAAAGAGCACCTCCAAATCAACGGAGTGTATTTTTTTTAATTAGTAGTAGTGAATCTGAGTGTACATCATTACTAATGCTGGTACTAAACAAAAGCAGTCTGCTATCAGAAACATATCCCTACTGTGCTGCTCTCTTGATGCTATGCAGAAAGCTCAAATACGTAAATTTCAGGAACAATGTCGAAATCAGATCTATCTCTGTACCTAGAAGGAGGTGGTGATGAAGAGGGTAGGACTTCAACTATGATTTTAGATTGAAATGTCATCTCTGACACCTATTTGATGGTCTTGGGTAAGTTCTATAACTTCTCTTGACCTTAGTTTCTTTATTTGAAAAATAGAGATATGACCAGGCACAGTGAGTGGTACAAGTTTGTAATATCAGCACTTGGGAGGTGGGGGCAGAAAGATCAAGAACTCAAGGTCATGAACAGGCGCATAGCAAGCCTGAGGTATCCTGTGCTACATGAGACCCTGTCTCAAGCAACAATAACAAAAATGTAAGCAGGGATATGGGTGCTTACTTCAAAGCATGAGCCATAGTATCAAGATCCGCTCATGTAATCATCACTAAGGTGACTCAGCTGTCCCTGGGTAATGTGATTATGATGTGTTTGTACACAAACACACATACATAAACAGTGATATCAGAAGCATGGACATATATCTAGAAGTTTCCATGTTAGATTAATGGAAAAGTCTACCCAGTCATAATCATTTAATGAAAGGCGTTTTTTGCTGTGGTTACACCTTAAATGTGCATGCTCAATCACGTTTGAAATACTGTCTTAATACATTCCTCAATTACAGAGATCCTGGGCAAACTTCTGCCAGGAAAGCTTTTCTTCTGAATATTATGTCCAATATGAATTGGTTATTAATCAAACTTTATCATATTGATCTATCTTGAGCCATATCTGCTTGCGACTAATTTTGAGACAGTGTTTCCCTGTATCCCCAGCTGGCCTGGAACTCACTATGTAGACCAGACTGAGATCCCAGGGATCTGCCTGCCTCTTGCCTCCCGAGTGCTAGGATTAAAGGCCTGCGGCACCACACCTGGCAAGGAGAAAAGTTTTAAGAAAGGAATAAAGGAATAAACAACTCTTTCCAGGATCTAGAAAACTTACAGGATACACTTTTAAAAGACAAGCCTTAGATGAGCAACAAGGCAGTTCTCAGGAGCATGTGGTCTACCACAAAACAAAACATTGTTAAATAAAAGTCACACATTAGTAACTGTAAAAAGGCTCAAATGACAGAAAACTAAAGAGAAGGAAGGAGAAGCACAGAGGTCTGAACGTCTCCAGCACTGCTCTTCAGGTTGCTGCACTTCGGGCCTGCGTCTCGTTTACGATCCTATTTATAGATTTTTAAATACCACAGCTACAAGTGTCCAGTTTTGTATCCTTTGTTCTGTACTGCTTAGTATTTTATTGCCTGCATCCTATTTGCCACTTGAATGAGCCTTCGCCTGGCTCCCCGACCTGGTCCATCCTTTATTTCACCAATTAAAGAGGGATCACAATGCTCATTGTAGTTTCATTCTCTAGAATCTACAATTGCTTCACCAAAGTCATGGTATGAATGGCAAGAACCACAGAGACTGGACCTCCTTAGGGTAAAATACCATCTGTGCCTGGAATACAATGCTAATGAAAGAAGTGCCACGATTTCAACAGTGATATGGAGTGGAGGAGAAGAACTCAGTGCAAAGACGCTCAGGTTCCTTTCTACATTGCCCTGTTTGAGGCAGAGGATAAGATAGGCAGACATACTCCAAGTCTAGAAGGACAGGTACTAGCTCCATGGAGTGGTCCCCATCTATAATCCCAGCACTCAGGGAGGCAGAAGGAGTGCCAGAAGTCCAGGCAAGGCTGGCCCAAAGACTGAAACCCTTTCTCGAAAATATGAAAAGAGAAAGGGGGGGGAGAGAGAGAGAGAGAGAGAGAGAGGAGGGAAAAAGGGAGGGGAGGGAAGAAGGGAGGGGAGGGGAGGGGAAGGAGGGGAGAGGAGGGAAGGGAGGAGGAGGAACAGCAGCTTTCACAGTTGGTGTGGGACTTTTAAAGAATTGTTTTAGAGATATGGCTTCTTTTTTCTTGGTTATCAACTATATCCCAAGAATGAGGGCCCTATTCCTGAACTGGTAAGTGTAACAGAGGAAGGCTAACTCCAAGACTGAAACTGCAAGAGGGATGCAGTTGAATAAGGGTAAACCTGGAGTGCAGGTGCCGGGTTGAATAAGGGTAAACCTGGAGTGCAGGTCCTGGGTTGAATAAGGGCAAACCTGGAGTGCAGGTCCCGGGCTGAATAAGGGCAAACCTGGAGTGCAGGTCCCGGGTTGAATAAGGGTAAACCTGGAGTGCAGGTGCCGGGTTGAATACGGGTAAACCTGGAGTGCAGGTGCCGGGTTGAATACGGGTAAACCTGGAGTGCAGGTGCCGGGTTGAATACGGGTAAACCTGGAGTGCAGGTGCCGGGTTGAATACGGGTAAACCTGGAGTGCAGGTGCCGGGTTGAATACGGGTAAACCTGGAGTGCAGGTGCCGGGTTGAATACGGGTAAACCTGGAGTGCAGGTGCCGGGTTGAATACGGGTAAACCTGGAGTGCAGGTGCCGGGTTGAATACGGGTAAACCTGGAGTGCAGGTGCCGGGTTGAATACGGGTAAACCTGGAGTGCAGGTGCCGGGTTGAATACGGGTAAACCTGGAGTGCAGGTGCCGGGTTGAATACGGGTAAACCTGGAGTGCAGGTGCCGGGTTGAATACGGGTAAACCTGGAGTGCAGGTGCCGGGTTGAATACGGGTAAACCTGGAGTGCAGGTGCCGGGTTGAATACGGGTAAACCTGGAGTGCAGGTGCCGGGTTGAATACGGGTAAACCTGGAGTGCAGGTGCCGGGTTGAATACGGGTAAACCTGGAGTGCAGGTGCCGGGTTGAATACGGGTAAACCTGGAGTGCAGGTGCCGGGTTGAATACGGGTAAACCTGGAGTGCAGGTGCCGGGTTGAATACGGGTAAACCTGGAGTGCAGGTGCCGGGTTGAATACGGGTAAACCTGGAGTGCAGGTGCCGGGTTGAATACGGGTAAACCTGGAGTGCAGGTGCCGGGTTGAATACGGGTAAACCTGGAGTGCAGGTGCCGGGTTGAATACGGGTAAACCTGGAGTGCAGGTGCCGGGTTGAATACGGGTAAACCTGGAGTGCAGGTGCCGGGTTGAATACGGGTAAACCTGGAGTGCAGGTGCCGGGTTGAATACGGGTAAACCTGGAGTGCAGGTGCCGGGTTGAATACGGGTAAACCTGGAGTGCAGGTGCCGGGTTGAATACGGGTAAACCTGGAGTGCAGGTGCCGGGTTGAATACGGGTAAACCTGGAGTGCAGGTGCCGGGTTGAATACGGGTAAACCTGGAGTGCAGGTGCCGGGTTGAATACGGGTAAACCTGGAGTGCAGGTGCCGGGTTGAATACGGGTAAACCTGGAGTGCAGGTGCCGGGTTGAATACGGGTAAACCTGGAGTGCAGGTGCCGGGTTGAATACGGGTAAACCTGGAGTGCAGGTGCCGGGTTGAATACGGGTAAACCTGGAGTGCAGGTGCCGGGTTGAATACGGGTAAACCTGGAGTGCAGGTGCCGGGTTGAATACGGGTAAACCTGGAGTGCAGGTGCCGGGTTGAATACGGGTAAACCTGGAGTGCAGGTGCCGGGTTGAATACGGGTAAACCTGGAGTGCAGGTGCCGGGTTGAATACGGGTAAACCTGGAGTGCAGGTGCCGGGTTGAATACGGGTAAACCTGGAGTGCAGGTGCCGGGTTGAATACGGGTAAACCTGGAGTGCAGGTGCCGGGTTGAATAAGGGTAAACCTGGAGTGCAGGTGCCGGGTTGAATACGGGTAAACCTGGAGTGCAGGTGCCGGGTTGAATAAGGGCAAACCTGGAGTGCCAGCTTTCAGTCACCCCCAAGTTATTAGTGTGACAGCACACCACAGCCCCCTAAGCTGGTTCCTCTTCCTTGTCTCTGCACAATTCAGCACTTTCTGGTGTGGCAACAGCACGAACACACACTGAGCGTGTTTCCTCCATCTCCCCTCGCCTGCTTCTCAGATCAATCACACAAAGACCGTACCATCATTTCCCACGTTTCTGAGAGAAGGACTTAGAGACTCAGAGGAAAGTGGCTTCCTGAAATCCCTGGGATAACGGAGGTCTAAACAAGGCCATGTCAGCACCCAGAACCCAGCCTTACAATCACTATCTCAGCAGGAAGCCACACACATCAAGACCACACAGGTCAAGACAGCCTATGTGATGTAAAGGTGAGATTCCATTCAGAATCTAACACCTACTGATGGGTACTGTGGGTACTGTGGGTACTGTGGGTGCTGTGGGTGCTGTGGGTACTGTGGGTACTGTGGGTGCTGTTTCCTCATCTGTAACAACACATCCCAATAACTAGAAAGAAATTATCATCTATTTTAACACAAATGACCAGATAAACACAGTGAGGTTATAAATATTTTCCAAATTATGCCACCTATTGAGCCCAACTAGATTTACTCTGCATCTTTTACACACACACACACACACACACACACACACACACACACGCACAGAGTCTTGTGTGTTAGCCATGCATGTTTCCTCTTCTTTGTCAGATCAAAGTTCTCAGTTCAATCCTTGCCTGCTTTTCAACAATGTGTAGCAAAATTATGATATTAAACATTACTCGAGTGGTCAGACTCAGAGCATCTCTGCTGCCTTATGATTTTAGGTTCAACTTTCAGTACTTGGGCAGCAGAGCACCCATGACCTTACGGAGGCAGAACTGAAGGGCAAAGCCAGGACGAAGCTCCCTTACCTGCTTCAGGGCCTTTTTCGTGTGCTGCTGAAAGGAAGACAGCTTGCTTTGCACGGCTGTGTTCGTGAGGCTTGAATCCCGAGTGGAAGATGCTTCATCCGTTACCTGCTTCCTACAAACTAGAAGCGGAGAGACAATGATATTACTAATTTGAATTCCTTTTTTTACCTCCACTGTAATTAACATGCTTGGAGCTTTTCTCCAGTTGAAAATGGATACGTAAAACAAAGCAAACTAGCACAGTACAAGAAGGCATATCTGGATTTGAAGAGAAGGGGTCACTTGGTAGCTAATGTGGCTGCAGATCCACGTTACTGCTCCAGGCAGCCAAACTTCCGTTCTCACTGCCAATTCTTTGTGTGTCACAGAGCCAGTGTGTGGCATAAAAACAGCAGCGAACCTGCCTTACGAGCTGGGAATCAGCGGACACGCCCCATATCTGTGTACGCAGGTCCCACAATGACACATCAGTGAATAAACTTGCTTGAAACTGACCTAGGTTCACGGACTAAACTTACGACTCTTCTACCTAATAGCCGGCCCTTGAGAACCCATGACTTCTGGGGCCATGTTCAATGAGATATGCTACACAGAGAAGGAAAAAAGAAATCTGAGGTGTTTTCAGTCACCTAAAGACAATTATTTTCAAGAAATGTTGCTCTCTGCAGATAGCAAGGTATTCTGCCAATTTTTGTGAGAACTGTGCTTTCCTTTGGCCTATCTCACACAAGACAGCTTCTCTACAGACACTGTACTGAGGAGAACTACTGTCTCTCCATCAAGCACGATCAAGAAGAATAGAGATGTCTGCTGCTCCACGAGACACATTTGGAATTAGAGCTCTGCCTTCAGCCGGAAGACCAGGGTAACACTAGGGACCCTGGCTGGAGTACAGAGGAAAACCCTTCTTTCCAGATAGTACAGGAGGGGGAGCCATCTGTAGAATCAAAGTGGGGAAGTGGTATAGTGAGGGCAGAACAGAGACACATGTCAAAGGCAGGAGGAAGAGGATGTCAGACGGAAGACAATAACTCGAGAACATATCGTCAAAACTCCAAACATGACTTCTTAAGGCCATGGGGTAAAAGATAAATCAAGACAACTTTCCAAGGGATGAGAACTTGGGGGAGGGGATTCTGAACAGAGTTGTTAAGTAAATGGTGGGATAAAAATGGTTACAGTTATCAATACCCAGCTCTTCCCCCACCCTGGCCCAACATAATGACTATAATCGAAAATGGAGGCACATACATGGACAGAGCACTGAAAGCATGTACGCTGATGAAGGACTTAGCATGCCTAGTCTAGGAACAAACACATGGATCATGTGAGAATTTTGGTGAAAGCAACGTTAAGTTTTGTTTTAATACAGAAAGTAATCAGAAAGCCAAATGAACACACTTACAAAAAAATTCTAATTATTATTATGTTTTAGAGACTTTACACATGGGATCTTAGTCCTTGTAGTTTGCTGCAAGACAGAAAAAGAGTTATCTCCATGTAGGACAGAGAGAAAACTAGAGCTCACAAAGGCTAGGTAAATCATCCAGGCCCACACTGACAATGACAAAGCACATCTAGGATCCAGGCTAGCCTAGCACATCTAGGAGCCAGGCTAGCCCAGCGCATCTAGGAGCCAGGCTAGCCCAGGTCTGGAGCTCACTATTTTTCAACCAAATGGATTTGGCCTCAAACACGAAGACCTGATGCATAAAATTCCTTGATTTAAGAAATATAATTTACTTGCATGATGTTGGAGATATAGAAAGTGAGTAGGGTTGAGAAGAACAAGCTATTTAGTCCCAGATATGAAACATTAAGAACTGCATGTGCTGGAGAGATGGTTAAGAGCTGACTGTTCTTGCAGAGGACACACATTAGTTTCCCAGCACCCACATGCAGTTAATAACCGCCTGTTCCAGGGGATCTGACACCCTCTTATGACTTCCGTGGGATTGTGCACACATGGTACACTTAAATACATGCACACAAAACATTCATATACATAAAATAAAAATAAATAAATAAAAAGAACTGTATGTGACAGAACCAGGAAGTGCTATAGTTAAAGTAATTCAGATACAGAGGGCCAGAGAGATATCTCAGATGTTAAGAGTGATTGCTGTTCTTCCAGAGGACTGGAATTTGGTTCCTAGCATAAATGTCAGGTGCCTCACAACCATCTGTAACTCCAGCTCCAGGAGATCCAAACGCCCTCTGCTGGCCTCCACAGGTACTCCGCATGCACATGCACATACACACAGATACACACACATATATACAAATAAAAAGAAAATAAAATCTTTAAAACAAGATTTGGACGTAGAGACAGAAATCTTTGAATTAAAGATCAAGTTTCTTTTTTCTACTTTTTACAGCATGACAGTTTTCACTGAGACAGTCTAAATGTTCTAGTTAAGATGCTTTTGTAACACTGTGTGAGTAAGCTGTGGTTGCTAGGCTTCTTTCCTTGAAATGATCGCTGGAATCCTTTCAACACTTCACCAAAGCTAACTTACCAAGAAATACCCATCAGATTACACTGTATAGATACATCAATTTTGTATCCTGATTACACAGGCTTTCTTAATCTTCTGAAGTCCCTATGATGTGTGACCAATCAGGGAGGGGCAGGAAGGTGGCAGATAGGATATATCATGAGGCCTAAGCCCAGCCAAAAGTAAAGTGGGCATTAGTAAATACTTTACAACTTTCACATACTCAGAAAACTGAAAAGTTACTGACCAATCTGATTGCTGAAAAGGAGAAACAAATGCAGTCTATGGACAACAGGGAATTCAGGAAAATAGACTGCTTGTGCATACCAGACATCTAAATTCAAATTTACTACCAAGTTGCTTAGGAAATACTTTTAATCAAAGTGTCCTTGAAAACACTTTTTAATATTTATTTTTTATTTGTATGAGTATGTATGTGCTACAGTGTGTGTGTGTGTGTGTGTGTGTGTGGTTAGAAGACAGCTTGCGGGAGCCCTTCTTTCCTTTGACCACGAGGTTCAAAGATCTCACTCAGGGCCTTAAGCTCAGTGGTAGGCAGTTTTACTGGCTGAGCCATCTCACCATCCCTGAATCATAAATCTTTCACAAGTAAACTGTAATACAGCACAATAAAGAGATACCAAGTGCTGACTGAATGCCCCTAAGTAAAGCTTTATGTCCTCGCATCATCTAACCATTGCAAGAAGCAAAACGCTCTGTCTGTCCTTGAAGACAAGAGCTTTGGGGGGTCACATTTACTCTATTTCCCTCTGACCTACGAAACCATCTGACATCATCAGAAAACCAATTTTAGTCTTAACATACATCCCTTACATGTGTTATGGTACTGTGTTCACAGTGATTTACGTATATTTACAAGAATCCATTCAATTTAGAACCCAGATCTTGAGAGGGAAGGTCCACAGAGTTTACGACATTTTGTGGAGGACGATAAGGTTCATCCTCAAACTGGACTTTCCCTGTTCACACTTTTCGTTCCATGTTCTAACCCTTCCTTCCAGATGCAATAAACACCACCAACAACCCTGTAGTTCAGCCTCTGGCCCCTCACATCTCCTCTTGATCCTGACATAGTTCTCTGGGCCAAAACAGTTTTGTCTAATTATTTGCTGCTAATAAACTTATTGTGGAGCATTAAGGAAAAAAGGAACAGCATTTGAAGGTACAATTTACAAGTGATTTTTCCTTGGAGTTCAATTAAATGTACATAATGATCCACGGGCTCCAAGCAGTGGCCATAACATACACACGTTATTTTAAAGAACTGACAAATCTGGATGGAAACTAAGTTGAACATCTAAGTTGCTTTATTCATTCTTTTGCCAAACATATGATGTAATTGTAGTAGAATCAAAAACTACTCACTCAGTACATTAAATGGATTATGCAGGTTCATGCAGATTCTCAGACAAAATACCAGGTTTTTACCTTTTCTACTTATTTTTACAGCTGTCATGAGAGAAGGTAGGATAAATAAATATTTATGGGCCTAGATGTTCATCTCAAAGGATGAACCTGGAATGAGAGAAATACAAGCCAGAGATAAATTAATGTTAAAGGAGGGATCAGAGAAAATCCCCTGTAAGTAAAATTATAACAGGAGTCAGGAAACCCAAGAACTGGGACAGAGGTTTCATCCAATAAATACCAAACCTTTACATGCAGCTTAGAGCTTAGAAACTGATAGCTTTTTGGCATTTAGGGCAAATGGGAGCCGTGGTTTCTTTCTTTTCTTCTCTTTCCCTCCTTCCTCCCTCCCTCCTCCCTCCCTCCTTTCCCCTGTAAGTAAAATTATAACAGGAGTCAGGAAACCCAAGAACTGGGACAGAGGTTTCATCCAATAAATACCAAACCTTTACATGCAGCTTAGAGCTTAGAAACTGATAGCTTTTTGGCATTTAGGGCAAATGGGAGCCGTGGTTTCTTTCTTTTCTTCTCTTTCCCTCCTTCCTCCCTCCCTCCTCCCTCCCTCCTTCCTCCTTCCTTCCTTCTTCCCTCCCTCCCTCCTCCCTCCTTCCTTCCTTCCCCCTCCTTTGCTTCTCTTCCAGAACCTTCCCTGGACTCTGGAAGTCTCGAGTCCCATGAAAACTGTTCCCTTGGTACTTCAGTAGAGCAGATGTTTTCACAGCAGAAGCACAGGAGAGAACTTGTCTAGAAACAGAAATGAGGCAGGGCAAAAATAAGAGGAGAAAAACGGGAAGAGGCTGCTATTTTTAAGTAGAACATTCTTTTCTCTTCAGACTTTTCCTGTTGAGTTGGGAGGAGGCAGATACACACTGATCATCCCTGGCAGCCAAGTGGCAGTGGGTAGGAATCTATTTTGGACCAGAGCTGAAAACAAAGTTTTGAGAAATAAGCTGTAATTGGCAGACTGCTTGTTTGACTTTTGCATGCCATTGTCCCCTCCCTCCCTCCCTCCCTCCCTTCCTTCCTTCTCTTAACTTTCTACTGATATGATCACAGACTAGTGTCAGGTCTTTACATGTCAAAACCCCACACACCAGCCTGCTCTTCTCATAGATGGACAGATCGAAAAAGAAGAAACAAAAATGAGAACATGAGTGTTCCCTGCAATACTGTTCTTAAAAGATACAAACACA